ATCCTGGAACGGTTTGGGTTGGAAGGGAGCGTAAAGATCAGTCAGTTCCACCCCCTGCCATGGGCAGGGACACCTTCTATTATTCCAGGTTGCTCCAAGCCCCGTCCAACCTGGCCCCAGGGATGGGGCAGCCACAGCTTCTCTGGGCAACAATTACATGAAATAAGATTGTTTCCAGCACCAGCACGAGCCTGTGATTGCCAGAGTATTTAGGGCCTCCTCAGGGGTCCAACCTGCCTGTTTCCCTGCTTCCTCCCTGCAGTTCAGCACCCTGGGCCCACAGACACAAGAGAACAATGTGGTTTTCAAACAGAGGTTCTGTCAAACTTCAGGCTCTGGAGCAAGGCCATGTCACTCCACCTCGTTCCTGACCTTGTTGTGCCTTTATTCCAGCATGGTGCCTGAGGAATGAGGGCGTGAGCTCTGTCCTTCTGGGATCTTCCAACCCGGAGCAGCTGATAGAGAACCTCGGAGCCATCCAGGTAAGTGCAGGTGGTGGTGGCCCCTCCATGGGGATTAGCTCTGCTCAGCTCCCTGGGGGTAACACCCCCACACCTCAGCACCCTCCTTCTCTTCATTTAGTGTTAGTACTTGGTATTTTGTCTTGCAATTCTATTTATTCACCTTAATTAGGCAAATCTATGGTGTCACCAGCAGGTTTAATGTATCTGAAAGGGACAGGGACCCGATTCCAGGACATGTTGTGATGGATTCTGTGCTATCACATGTCACCTGCACCCACCTTAATTAATCTCTGTAGTTTGCCACAATCAGCTTCCTCTCCCTCTGCTGTCCTTCCACTGCAGCCCAGCAATACTCCACATATCGAGTTCAGAGGCATTGCCATGATTCTCTCATTGAGTAAAGACATTCCAGCGGTTCCTCCTTTATTGGGAGAGAGTTATTAGAGGAATGTTTAATATCTGTCGCGCAAAAAAAACCCCAGAGGAAATGTTATTTGATAAAATCTGGGTTTAAATTTAGAACAACCTTGATTAAACACGGGCTTCCTTCTACCCTCAGGTCCTTCCAAAGATGACATCCCACATCGTGAATGAAATAGATAATATTCTGGGCAACAAGCCCTACAGCAAGAAGGACTACAGATCCTAATGCAATGCATGAGCTCCCTGGACTGCATGGTTTCCAAGTGCTCTGTACAGCAGTACAGCCCCGAGTTAATCTCTGGTCATGAGAATCATTCAGCACCTGCTGCTCGGTGTCTCCTGTCACTGGACCCTTCGAGATGTGTGCTCTTGCTACTAATCTGCAGTGAAATCTAAAAGCACAGTTGATCTCTCTTCTAACCGAGAATAATCTCGTATTTTCTTACCTTCGACCGAATTCATTAATTTTTACTTTCCTCTTTTGCACCTCATGCTTGTGCTGTGAAAAACACTTGTAAAGCAAAAAAAAAAAAAAATTAGTAATTTATAACCTTCAGGTACTTGGTAATTAAAGAAGGATGTACAGATCTATTTTTTCAATGAAGAAAAGCCAGATACAACTTCAGGTTTTAATAAAACCACGTTTGGGAAATCTCAACTATAAAGTTTCTTCAGGTTAACAGATGGAAGGGGCAAGCTCAGACTTTGTTTGCTTTTATATGCTGAATATAAGCTTTAGGTTTTGTTTGTAGTTGAATAAAAGCTGTAAGACAGAGAATTAGTTAGAACTTAGTTCAGCTTCTAACTGTACAGTTATTCCAGCTGTGGAGTGCTCCTGGGAAACATCCCTGAGCAGTGTTAGGAAACCCAACCTCGCATGTCAGGTTACTGAACCAACAGCTCTCTGCAAAATTCTACTTCTCCATAAACCTTAAACCAAGAAAGCCATGATTAAATATTGGGTTTTGCATATATAGAAACCTGCCTCTACTTCTGCCTGCTTGTAGACAGAGCTACTGCAAATTTCAATATTCAGGAGCTTTTATGGATATAGACACTTATAAATATATATATATAACTGCTGAGAAACTCCCAGGAAAAATCAGGTACGTATTTTGAAAGGCTACATCTGCTTTATTTTGGAATCGGGGATAAGTAAATGCATAGACTCATTTTAAACAGATTTTTGTGAGCATTTACAGGAGTTGATAGCAAGGATGTACATATTAATTTGCCCAGCTGAAGAACCACGTTGTACTTTCCCGTGGATTTGCTCTGTATGACTCCTATGATTTCAGTCTGTATTTCTCATGTCCTTCCTGGGACACAGCTCTGTACAGTATTTGTAGGACCCTTGTACTTTAGTCCCCAAGCCCAGGGCTCACCTGGGCCAGGTGAGCAGCCCCCAGGGCTGAGTTGTCTCCTCCTGTATTCGAAGCTGTGGTCTGTGTAAATGACTCCTGCTGTATATGAGACCTGCAGTCCGATGGATCCTGCTTGGACACAATAAAAGCAATTTGTGCATCTAATTTATCCCTGCAGACTGTTACTGACAGCGAGAGCTGCTCAGAGCCAGCAGTGCTGGACGTGGAAGGGGGTGTGTGTTGTTCCACAGGGAGACTCTCCTGCTGTCCCCAGGAGGGGCGAGGGCCGGTGACACGGAGCAGGGACACGTGGGACCTGGGCTGGCTGCACACCTGGGACAGAGGTACCTCTGGAATCTATCCCTGGGGCAGACACCAGTCCTGGGTAATGCTGGGATGGCCTTGGGCTGAGGGAGGGCAGGGTTAGGTGGGATATTGGGGAGAAATCCTTCCCTGGGAGGGTGGGGAGGCCCTGGCACAGGTTGTCCAGGGAAGCTGTGGCTGCCCCTGGATCCCTGGGAGTGTCCAAGGCCAGGTTGGACAGGGCTTGGAGCATCCTTGTCCAGTGGAAGGTGTCCCTGCCCATGGTATGGGGTGGGACTGGATGGGCTTTAAGGTCCCTCCCAACCCAAACCATCCCATGGTTTTGGCCTGCAATAAACACCCGGACATGCTCCTGACAGGTCCCTGAAATCCCAAGGCAGTGTCCCAGCCTCTCCAAGGGGACACTGGCCAGTCCCAGCCACCTCCCCATGTACCTTCCCCTGCCCTGGAAACGTCCCCCAGCTCTGCATTATCAGCTGTGAAAGTTAACTAATGTTCATTGTTACAAAGGCTTCGACCAGCACACAGTTAACAGCTTTATTAATTTAAGAGAATTATCTTCCCAGTAGCAGACTAATTTCCCTCCCTCTGGAGGTACAATTTAATGTTCTCCCTTTCCCTTCGCACGTACGTGGGAATCCAGCAGTGTATTAAAAATAGATTAATTCCCAACTTTTTTAAATTGAAAAGGAGATGGTATTGACCCTTACTTGGAGCAAGAGCTTAAAACTCTGAGGGCAATGGGGGGCCAAGCAGCAGCTCAGCTCCAGGTTAACCCTCAGCGTTAACTGAAGAAATTTAATTTCAGTCTATTATATTGACTTCTATATAAATCATTGCAGCTTCTAGTGCGGATTGCAAGGGGAAAAAACAACCACCACCCAAAAAACAACTCAAAAGCAGACAGAATTACAAATAACAAAAAAAAGACAGCCCCAAACTTTCCCGAGAAGGCCCAAGATGAGGGTTTTTTGCAGCACACAACCCACCCCACTCCCCCACCGACTTTTGTTTCAGGCTGTCAGTGCTCAGTGTTCCCTCTCCTCACTCGCTGAGCTCCAAGCCTCAGTAACTGTTAATACCAAAAAAAACCTACAGTAGGATGAAAAGCTGTTAATAAAAGACTCAGTGAGGTGACAGTAATAGCAGAAGAAAGTGCTGCTTCCAAGCACTTCTCCAACCAGCAGATTTTCTGGAAAACACACCTGTCACCTGCTAGAACACCTGACAGGGCAGTGAGAGCCCTGGCAGTACAATGAGTGTACTAATGTTGTTTGTTTAAATACTGGAATTTAAGTACTGGGTGCTTCAGGAGGACCAGAGCAAAAACCAGCCCCATCAAATCCTGCTGCTTAGAGAGCTGCCAGCTTGGCCTCCTCTTGGGCTCCCACTGGTTACTTGCTGGAGGCTTGTTAGAAATTTGGTTTGTGTGTGCTAAAAAGCTTAAAATACAGAAATTATATCCTTTATAAAAAAGTGATAAGTCAAGCAAAGTACAATTGTGCAAGGCAGGCACCAGGAACGTGGAATGTCTCCTTCCTGAGGTGAATGATCAGGCACAAGTGATACAGAAAAATCCACGTATTTTGAGGGGAAGCAATCAAGTTAATACAAAGTGTTAAATGCCTGACCAGAAAAGTGATTTCAAGGGCAGCTCTGAAGTGCACCAAACCCATGGGAATTTTCATGGTTTGAATACAGAAACAGAACAGTTCATACCAGGAAGCAAAGGAAGAGTGAACTATGCAGGGGAGGGTTGAGACTGGAGACCTCCCAATCCCATCCAATCCCAAAGGATGCTGACAAGTGTTACAGTCAGTCAGCAGGCACTGGGTAATTAGGAATCGTTTTATGACTGACTATTTGTCAGAAATAGAGCCCTTTCTGTCTCCTGCTCTCCAGATTCTTCATTTTGCTCTATTTTCCATAAATCTTATTGAAGTAAAGATTAGCAGAGTAATTGTTACATTAAATCTGATTATGAGCTTTCTCCTTCTTCCCCACAGATCCTGAGTCTGTAATGGCAGGATCTGTAACTTCTGCTCCAGAATTCCATTAATAGCAGTGGAGTTTGGCATTAACAGAACAGCTGCTTCAGTGAGAGCAAGAAAATAAGGGACAGGATTGCCTGATAAACCCATTACAAAAAGCCAGCTAAAGCATTTCTGCTAAGCTGTGCAAGGAAACCGGCAGGGCTTCTTATTTATTTGTGATTTTGGACATGAATGGGAAAAAAAAGTACATTCAAACCACTTCAAAAGTGTTTTTCTAGGAGGTTCAGGGTTTTGTCCTGACTACACGTTACTTAAAAATGAGGAGTATTTCCAATGAACACAGGAAAAGACTCTTCTCTTCTGGAAGCAGAAAGAGCCAACAAACCTACACATGAAAATACCTACTGTTTTAAGAATGGAAATACAAGGAATTAAATGGCAAAAAAAGCTCCTTTTTATTACAACTTCTCCAGTTACATTGATAAATGGTGGATTGTCACTTTTTTGATCAGGGAGTTTGGCTCTGAGGCTGCTCACCAGACACCCAGGGGCCTTCTGGCCTGGGCTGTGGGTACAGCTGGGCAGTCCCACTGTGGAGCTGCCCCTGGGCTGCAGAACCATCACCCCTCTGTGGTGCTTCACAAAGGTGAGGTCTGGTCACAGCTCACACCCTCCCATTTCCTTCCCTTGCTAAGTAAAAAAAAAAATTCATTAACTCGGATATTGAATAATACCATGTAAAGATACCAAAAGTAAATATAATTCCATCAGTTTGGATTTAAACCCTCCCCCCCTTACACTCATAATACAAAAAAAAAATTCCTATTCTGCCCTTAAATGTTTCTATGGCAGTTGAAGTCTCTCACAGAAATAAATTTCTGTGGGGTTTTTGTCTACTTGGATCCTGTGGAGAGCAGAGCAATCAGTCCTGATGAAGCACTTATAGAAAGAATATAGTTTCTGCAGGGAACAGGTTAAGGACATATAATTGTCAAGATACTGCTTTGGTACAGAACATTTAGTAGAAGTTCTATGAAAAAGAAGGAATTGAAATGGTCTTTACAGTTTTAAAACTGAAATATTGTAACCTCAAATACAGCTCAAAATAAAGGCATGAACTTACCTTCAAAGTTAAGACACTCACAAAGTTTAGCCTGTTCTCTTAACATTTGTTTTATAAATAGTTAACTACAGAACAACCTGAATTAACTGGCCTGATTGGCAATAATAATTTCCTTAAAGAACAAATGATTTTGGTTGTGAAGTTACTGAAACTAAAGCAACCTGTCAGCTAACACTGACCTGGGGATTCTGCAGCAGAACAAGCTGCCTCCTCATCCCAAAATTACAACTAAAATGGCAAAGCCACAAGAATTTCCGTAGACTGTCCAAGTGATATCATTAAAAGACCTCATGTCACATTCACGTGACTGGGAGGGGGTTTTTTTTGTAAACTCTGCTTTTATGTGACAATGTTCTAAGCTGATGTTCTGCAAAGGACCTGCCCTTCCCAGCAGAGCACAAAGGATACACGGTGGGGTTGAAGTTCTTCAGCACAAAAAAGGAAGCGATGATGACCAGGACCAGGAACAGGGTGTTGTTGTAGAAGATGGAAAAAGTTGTCGCTTCATAGTCTGCAACTTCGTTTTTCTTCCACAGAATTCTAGGAGCAAGCAGAGACAATATTTCAGGCATATTTAAATCACTATATCAGAGAATGAATGACTGGTTTGGGTGGGGAGGGACCTTAAAGATCACCTCATCCCACCCCCTGCCATGGGCAGGGACACCTTCCACTAGCCCAGGTTGCTCTGTCCAGCCTGGCCTTGGACACTTCCAGGGATGGGATATCCTGGCACCCCCACCATTGTGAAGTGTGCAGTACTTTTGTTGTAACCAGCCTCTAGAAGACAGAGGTTTGGGCTCTTAAGCCCTGACAGCTCCCATCCTGCAGTCACAGTGAGCATCCCCTCTAATCCCAAGTGCATTTGAGACCTTTCCTTGACGACTTGCCTCAGAAAGGCTTTAAGATGAACCAAGAGTTACAGTACAACTTATGCTTTCCAGAATATAGGAAAAACAGGGCACAGTCCCTCATACCCTACCTAGAGCCTTAAGGACATTTAAGGCAGCATTACAACAAGGGAGAGAAGGAAGAGGACAAGGAGGTCACCTTTCATCCTTCTCCTTACGGGACATCTTCCTGTTGTCCGCCTCGGACAGCTTGCGAGTCACCTCCTTGGACACTGCATCCTCTCTTTTCTGGGCTACCCTGTAAGCAACACCACTTATGGTCAACTTCAAAAACTAATAAAAACCCCCACAGCTAAACCCTGGGATTGGAGGAAGTTTTATTTACAGTGAAGAATAAAATGGAGTCAAGACACCGAACAGTTTTGTCAAGTCGAAGGGACAAGTAATAATCAAACTGCTACAAGTAATGTAATTTTGATATAATCAGTAATATAATTTAAATGTAATTTATGGCAATACCTGCTGAGCATGATGGTAGTTCTGCTATTTCACTGTACTCCTGGCTGACAAGACAGGGCTACTCCATAATTACAAGAGACAACAGAAACCAACTAGGAAATATTTCTGTGTAAAAAAGATTTTGGAGTAACGTTCCGGGCATTCTTATTCATAAAAAAAATTAGGTTGTAAACGCTGGTTCTGTTAAATTATTAAATAATAAATTCTAGCTCCAACAGCCACCAAACTTACTTGTGTTTGAGGACAAACTTGACGTTCTTATACGCAAAAGCCACCAGATAGGTACTGATGAGGGTCATCACGCTGTACAGGACTGCGGACTGAACGAGATCCATGTGCCATATCCTCCAATAAAGCCCTTCGAAGAAGAAAAAATTACATTTTGAGTGGCCTCTCTCCAAGAAAAAAATGCCCCTGCAGGAGCAGCATACAGGACGTCAGCTCTGTAATTCGGCACAGGCTCTGCCAGACCAAACCCAAATGCTGCAAAACCCCTCGGAGCGTTCGAGCCGCATTAGAAACGCTCTGGGAGGGAGAAATGTGCCCCGAAGCGGCTCCTCCGGGCCACCGCCGAAGGCAGCGCCGCCGCAGTGACACGTCAGTGCTGCCGCCGGCAGACCGCCTCACGGCCCGGACCCACCGGCATCGCCTGCGGCTGGCAACCCGCACGGCTCGGGACCCCGCACGGCTCGGACCCCGCACGGCTCGGACCCCGCACGGCTGGGAACCCTCACAGCTCGGAGCGGGACGATCCCGCCTGGGGTGGGCTCGGAGCCCGGCTCGGAGCGGCAGCGGGACAGAGCCCGAGGCGCGCGGTGGGGAGTCCCTGATCCCCTCAGGGGCCACCGGTCCCCTCAGGGTTCGCTGATCCCCTTCCCCGCGTCTCCTGCCCTCCCCTCAGGGGCTGCTGCCGATCCCCTTCCCCGGCGTCTCCTTGCTGCCCTCAGGGTCTCCTGCTCCCCCGGGCCCCCGACCGCTCCCCTGCCCGCCGCCAGCCCCGTCTCCGGCCGCTCACAAATGGGGATGGCGGACACGATGAAGGCGTTGCCGAAGAAGAGCGCGGAGGACTTGGCCGAGAGGTTGCGGCTGAAGTCCTGCAGGAGCAGGTCCTCCTCGGACTGCTGCCGCCCGCCGGGGCCGCCCTTGGGAGCCATGGAGGGACCGGGCACCGTCAGCGGCCGGCTCAGGGGAAGCGGCTCCGGGTCAAGGAGACACGGCAGGGCGCGGCGACCGGGCACCGGCAGAAAGAGCTTCCGGACGCGCGGGCCGGGCCAGCGCCGCATCCTCATCCCAGCCCCGCTCCCAGCCCCGGCTCCTCATCCCACCCCGCTCCCCAGCCCGATCCCAGCCCCCGCTCCCCAGCCCGATTCCCAGCCCGCTCCCCAGCCGCCTCCTCATCCCAGCCCCGCTCCCAGCCCGGTCCTGGTCCCCATCCCGCCCCCGGTCCCCATCCCCGATGTAGCCCCGCTCCCCCGCCGGGACCCCCGGTGGCCGAGGCAGGTGAGTCCTCTCGGGGGGATCCCTCCGGGCTGGCACAGTTTGCCCGGGAAGCAGTGGAGGTTTTTTCCACTCCCCCTCCAGCCCCCACGGGAGAGCGTGTCTGTCTCGTTTTAGGCTCTTAGAGCCGTTCCCTGCTCCCCCCCTCCTCGCTCCGCGCCGGCCGTACAAAGGGCTCTGCTTTTCACTTCTGTTAGTGTTCCCTCTGCAATTTGTGACAACAAATTTTGAGCAGGAATTTTGAGGATTACCATCAGTGTCCCGCAGCAGGGTGTGGAGGGATTGCCCGTGGTTACAGGCATTGCCCCACGCCTGGGCTGACTGCAGCAGAAGAACTCCTTGGCCCCTGGACAGCACATTTCTCTTAGTGTTTTTAGCGTTTTGGTGTAAACATCATTTAGCAAAGTATATGTGTTCCTAAAATCTAATTAAAGACATTTTTCCCATTTATTCATTCATTCCCCCCAGTTACTAGTGTTCTCTGCTTCTGAGAAAACACACAAGGTGCACACCATGAGGAAATGCTCCCTGGAAATGAGTTTAAATTGAAATGGGGTTAAATATGATCAAAATTAACTCACTATAATAGAGCTTTGTAAAACATTTAGGTGCAGTAGGACTCTGCTTTTTGACCTTGTAATAAATTTCCAAGACCAAGCCAAGCCTGGATTTTCAGACTCAGTGTGTTGCTGTAGTGTGCTAACAGGATTTATTGCTAATGTTGTGCTATCTGCAGGCAGCTATGGGAGTTACACTTCTGCCAGCCAGACCTGCCCTCAGGCTTGGAAATATCTCTCCTGAAGGGATTCCCAGGCTGGATTTGTGGACACACCAGCCCATCAGATGAAGCAGAGGAGCTCTGAGGACCAGCAGAAACACCTGTGAGTACCAGTTGTGGCCATCCCTGTGCACAGAAGGCAGGGAGCCAGCCTTCCCCTTGGGTTGGAAGAGACTTTAAAGCTCATCCAGTGCCACCCCCTGCCATGGGCAGGGACACCTCCCAGTAGATGAGGTTGCTCCAAGCCCTGTCCAACCTGGCCTTGGCCTCCTCCAGGAATTAACCTGTTCTGAAGTGATTTCAGCAGTCTGGCTTCCACAGGTGGGAAGTGCTGTTTGCCTGTTAGGTGGCAAAGTCTGTGCTGAGGAGGGTTCTCCAACAGGAGTGGAGGTTAGTCTTGGTTTGTTGGTAAAACTTGTTAAACCCATGGTGTCCCTGCCCATGACAGGGGCTGGAACTGGATGGTCCTTAAGGTCCCTCCCAACCCAAACCAGCCCAATTCTAGTAGGTAACATCATATTTAATCAATGTTACCAATCATATGAGTTTTCTTATTAAAGAACATGGTTAGAGTTGTATAAAGTAGTTGGAAACCGTGAGGAATATTAAGATCATTTCAGGATTCAGATTAATCACTGTCCCTGTCCTTGCCCAGATTTCTTCCTTCTGCTCATCTGGGTGAACGTGTGTTGTGGTGGGCTGTAACTGTCTCTCTGCTCCTGGTTTGGGCTTACATGGGCGTGGTGCCATCATTTGGGAAGAAAGTCTGCCCAGTGACCATCTGTCTCTGCCTCAGGATGAAGTAGGACATTGTTTTAGGCAGTGGAATGACGAAAGATTTTCTTAAAAAAAAACCAAATGAGCACTTTGCTTTTATAAACCCCCTGGCACTGGCAAAGTGTGGCTTCAGGCAGAACAGTGTGTGCAGCGAGACTCTCACTGCAGCTTCGTGCTCTGAGAGCGTCGTAGATACTCCCCCAAAAATAAACAGGGCCACCAGTTTCTGTCAAAACAATTCCAAGGTTTGTTTCAGTGCCTAAATCTGCATCTTGGCTGAATCCTCATTCAGAAGCTGTTGGGAACTTGAGGCGTCAAAGTCAGAGGAACAATTGCTCTGTGACCCAACAGCAAAAGATCTCCTGATAATAGGAAAATAAATGCTGTTGTCTTTGTAACTTATGAATTAGGTTTCTTACCAAATTTCTTCCTGAAACACAGAGGCAGTGATAAATATTCTGGCAGTACATTGATTATCTTTATTTTCTCAACTTTATCTAAATCTCTGAGCTGGACTAAGATGAAAAATTTAAATGAGGGCAGTGACATTTCCCAGCAGGATTTATTTTGTTTATTTTATTTTGCTGTTTATCTGTGGGAAGTGTAGACTCCAAAACACCTTTGTGTTGGATTGGAAGGTAGAATCTCCAAGGCAGGTGATTAACAGGAAATGTCTGTTCCTTAGCAAAGTGTTTGTCATCTTGTGTGTTAGTATGAATCATAGTGGCTTGAACTGAGAGTAGGTTTGGATTAAATATTGGGAGGAAACCCTTCCCTGTGAGAGTGGTGAGGCCCTGGCACAGGATGCCCAGAGAAGCTGTGGCTACCCCATCCCTGGAAGTGTCCAAGACCAGGTTACATGGGGCTTGGAGCCACCTGGGCTAGTGGAAAGTGTCCCTGCCCATGGAATTTATCATGCAGGAAGGGATTAGTGTGCTGAGTTTGGGATCAGCTGATGGGGGATTGTTGAAATACAAAGGAAAAACCTCCTTTGGATGAGCATTCGTGGCACTCATGAGCTGAGCAGCTTCTCCCTCTGTGTGATAACTGGGTGGGTGAGAAGCTTTCCAGTTCTCCTGTGTGCTGTGATTTTCCTAAAACGTTCTGTGGTGTGTGAGATTTAAAACTGGAGCTGAAATCTGTGTTATTTTCCAGCCAAATCAGTTCCCAGGTTTAGAATCCCAGGATGGTTTGGGTTGGAAGGGATCTTAAAGCTCACCTCGTGCCACCCCATGGCATGGGCAGGGACACCTTCCACTGGAATGTAGCCCCCAAAAGAGGTACCTACAATTTCTAAAAGCTGGGAGTTGCTGGATTTCCAGGACACTTGCTGTATGTGAAGGCAGCTCAGTGTAGCATATGTGACCCATTTTTGATGTCTTGAAATGGTCTCATCTGCTCCAGTTTCCTTCTTTGGCATTTTTAAGGTTCCTGTGATGTGGACCAAGTGAACGAAATCATGTCTAGGAATAGATTCGGGGGCTGGTTTGCTCAGGTAGAGCCTGGAACGGACCACACTTTGGAAAAGCAGTATCAGAGGCACTGTTTGGAAAATAACCATGACATAAAGGCAATCAAAGAGTTGTTTCCCTGTGGGACACTCAGCTCGGGTCTCTCCAGCCCCAGATCAGGGGTTCTCCCACAGTCCTCACACTGGGGATGTGTGAGGTGATCTGCAGTGGGATTATCCCAGTCCAGTTCAGCAGCCTGCATCCCTGGCAGTGGGAGGGAACCAGCCAGATGGGATTTCTGAGTCTGCACTGTGTCATCCTGGCACCCACCCACCACTGCTGCTCCATCCCTCAGGGCTGTGGGAGGATCTCCTGGTGCCACTCTTCACCTGGGAGTTCTCCAGGGTTTCCCGTTCCTGGAGCCTTGAGCTTGGCAAACATCTGGACTTCAACCACAGGACAATTTTAGCCTATCATGTGTAGTCAGAAGAGTTGACCATAAGGATGAACTAAATCTGAAGGGTCATGTGAGGAATGTTTGGATGAGGGAATAAAAGGGGGTATTTCTGGCTGTTCATTTTCTGAATGGTTGGAGATGAGTCCATCCACAGAAAACAGACTTAGTGTTTTCCACCTGGCTCAGCCTGGATCTGGTTAGAGAAAATTCTACCAAGTCTTCTTCCTAATTTAAAAAAACCTTAGGAAACATGAAAGAAAAAAACCCCTGAACAGAATTAGCAAGGCAGTGTCCTGTCCTCCTGGAATGCGGAATTCAGCAGCACAGAGTGGTGAATTCTAGAAATAAAGCATTCCTAGCGTGCTCCCACACAGAATTCTTGGGCAAAGAAATAATGTCCAAGTGCAAATTCCCTTTCTGGGATGAGAGCAGAGCATCTCCTACTCCCAGGCAGGCACTTGGGGCTGTTTCCAAGAACAGCTGCTGAACAGAGCAGGCATTTGGCTGTTTCCTGCACCATCCCAAGGCTGTGGTTTTATTTAGGTGTTCTGCAGCCTGTGTCCACCCAGCTGCTCCCTGAGCTGCACATTTTGGTTCTTCAGCTCCTGCATCTTAGAAGAAAAATGTTTTGTTGAATTTAGCATTGATTTCTCCCTCTGGTTTATTTTATTCTCAATTTAAGGTGTGAACATTCCCGTTTTCCTCCTTGCTGTTTGAATCATGCAGAGCCTGGGAGAAAGGGCAGTCAAATTTACAGTGCCTCTGCCTTTTATACAGTAAGGATTGACCTTTTCCAGGGATATCTCCAGAGATCTTCATTCACACTTTCAGCTTCTCCAGGGCGTTGCAGCTCTTTATGGAACCAGTGTTTACTGGGGAACTAAAGGTTTGCCCCAGGGAGCAGCTCTTAGCTGGTTTTCCAGGCATTCTTTTTTAATTTGTTGGAATTATTGGTTGAAGAATGGACTTCATTTGCATGGAGATAGCAAACTATCTGTCTGTTAGATAGAACTAGCTGGTGATTTTAGAAAGAATTTAAATCCTAGTTCGCCAACACTGCATTGTAAAGGAACATTGTAAAGGTCTGTTTAGATAGGAGTCAGCCTAAAGGAGAAGGAACAAAGCACTGCCATCCACACATTGCTGCTTACCTGGTGGCAGGATCCACCTGCTGAGTGTTCCAGAATCATTCTTAAAAAATCTCAAAAGTTCAGTGTTTTTTTATGATTCAGTTTGTGTTAGTTGAGGATTGGTAAGTGCTGCCTTGGCCTCAGCTAAATTTCCAGTTTACATGGATTTAAGAGACTTCCACGAGAGGGTGCAGCA